CAGGAATGCATTGGAGCTGCCATCAGGTGTTCTTCTGCCACCCTGCTCATCTCACAAGTCACATGAACACGACCGGGATGCATCCACAATGAGCTCTTGGTATTGTTGACAGATGGTGTGTGTTCAAGTGGTCTTCAGGGTGCTCTAACCTACATCTAGGGAATATCCCAGTGCCTAGCAGTGTCCTGATTGGGAAAGTGCAAAAGGCACCCCTACACCTAACTTACACAGCAGTGCCGAGTGCTGATCAAGCTTTTACTATTGCAATATCCATTGGAACATTACGGATAAGTATCAACAGAAATAGTGAACCATCCATTCTATACCCATCCCTCAAAACAAATAGAGAACTATTCATTCTACACCATAAAGGGCAAAGACTAGCTCTCAGTATTGCTCAGCAGAGTTCAATAACTTAACACTGAGAAATTCACTGATCCCATTAGGAGCTCTAGGCATGTGATGAAATGACATTGGTTGAGATCAACCACACAGCTCAGAGAATGGAATTCACCCAAAGACAGCAATTAGTGTAGGCAATCTGTTTTAGCAATGGGAAAGCTATGTAATGTATAATTGATTTTTATCGTATTTATATATTGTGGTCAGTAGTCCTGATGTGTTTTGATCACATATAATTCAGGTCACTGCTATTAGAGTGAGGTCCTGGCTATTCTTATAAAGAGGTTTCTCAAATTATAAGAGCAACCAGCATCAGTATAAATAGAAATGTTTCTAAAGACATCATCTGTAATGGCCATTAAAGGGAGGAAGATATCACTCCCAGCATTTTCCATTTACTTTGCTTGAAAAGTGAAAGGATTTCAGAATTTATAGGCTGTATTTATACTTGCTATTCAAGTTTCCTGACTGCACAGACACTGCCCTACCCAAGCTAAGGGAGGAAAACAAGGAAAATCAGCCATTGTGAGGCAAGAATGTGCCCATTCAAAAATACTTTCCACTTAACTGTGCAAGTGGGTGCTGAAACACTTGTTTTCCTTTAACGCTGTGTTTCAGGTTTGCTTTGCTATTTTTCACATCTCTAGCTGCCTAACTCAGGCATTTTACATATCATATGTTAAGTACCTGACCCAGAGATAGGATGAGCACCTGCTACTCCTACTAAGGTTTCCCACATCTCTGGATCTAGACCAAACTCCTTCAAAATCTGGGAAACAAATGTAACTGAGAGAGCGATCCCTAGTTAAGAAGCACCCATTGGAACTTAAATGTGTTGAACTGATGAAGAATATCAGTGTATCACTATGTTAATGGGACAAGACCAGAGCAAACCAGATCATACTCCAGTGCATATTAGAACTAGGTATACCCTGCCACTGGCCTCCATTTTTTGCGCATAAATTATTCAGAGTACAATTCTGAAACTGTAATTTATATTTCTGAAGGGTCAAAATTCCTTCTCTGCAGACACATGCAAGGATTTAGACATCTACTTGACCTACACTTGGGGTGATAAGTTGTTAGCTTCAACAATTTTGCATCAGAAAGAAGAGGCCTGATGAATGCCAGGGTTAAAGCCAGGCCCATAAAGCTCAGTGGTTATGCAACAGTGGTTATGCGAGCGAATCAAAAACATTTCTACAGACTTTCAAATCAGTATTTCTCAGAGATTTTTGTCTTTTTCAGAGTGCCATAGTCAATCTAACCACGATCAAAAATGACAGGAAAAAGGTAAGACAGTTCAGGGATTCAGGGCAGTCACTTCCCCATTTATTTTAAACAAAATATTATAGCTCAAGGCCTTTATTGCAGTGTTTGACTGAAATTTTCTTCCTAAGTGTAAAGGCTTAGGTTTTCATGAGACCTGGTGATTCTGATGGCCTAAAATGAAGTACATGCTAGGGGCCTGATTTGCAGAAAGATCAGTACTCCCCCATTTTGATAGCCAGGGCTCCTAAACAAGCATCAGTTTGGACATCCAGAAACAAAGGCACTTACAATCATCAGTCACCTATGCAAATGTAGGCCAGCATGCTTTCTGTGTATCATGGAGAATTACACAGACTTCACAGGAAATTTCTGTAAAGTGCTGTAAATGTGGGAAGCATTCTGTTAATGGCAAGTTTTAGCTCCTATTTTAGGTTTGAAATTCATTTTTAGATTAATATGCATTAATTATGCAATTACACACTGAATACAGAGCAGATGAAGAACTATTTGAATTAATAAAACTTTGTAAAGCTGATATTACATAGCAAGTAAATGTGCCCCTATGAATAGTGTCACTAACACATATACACGTATTGTCACTAAGACATATACACACACTAACACACTATAACACATTCTTGTATCTGCTAACTTTATACACTTTAAGGGGGACTTGCTATGTAGTTATTATCTATGCAGTTTGTGGATGAAACCTGTTTTGTAAATAAACCCATTCCCTTCACCTAAAACATTAATGTGAACCTGCTTGGGATTTCTACATACAATCTCAAAGAAATGCCTTTACACACCAGAAGCAGAGCAGAAATAAGGGCCAGAGTCTGCAATTAATAATGGGAATTGGGAAAGATCCTCAGACGTGACTAGTCATTTTGCCTTCTCAAATTCAAGATGCAGATGTTCAGCCCTGAGGAAGCCCTAGGTGTACACCCAGAACAGGAGACATCCAATTTACTTGTGAATATCTTGGCCATAGAGCCTCCTACCACAGACCCACTGGCTACAGAGATTTTACCGGGACTGCTTCCAGTAGTAATCATGACACTTGGTATTGGCAGGATTGGGCTTTAAATTTGTAGGTCTAGAATACTTACAAAATGAGCAGTCTGGCAAGCAAAGTTAGATTTTGCAAAACATTTTATTGTCAAAATGCAGGATTTTAGAGTCTTGGGGAAGAGGGGGAAGCAAGTTAAACTGGAATGCCTTATACTTGGCAGTTTAAAAGAATGCTTTCACAGTTACAGCTGAGACCTTCAACTTTGCCTGCAAATGAAACACTTTAAATAACAATCAGTTACACAACCTGCTTACAAGCAGCAGCTTATCTCACAAGACCTCTAGTAACAAATTTTCTTTGTGGCAACAGCATATCCAGCTGACTTCTACAATGTTGACCGGCTTTGTTTATTCTGACTGTCAATCCTTCTTTTAAGTGCTTCATCTGGCACAAGATCTGATCTTTTTACATCAGAATGGACACAGCCAATCTTAGGGCAGCTGTTAAAAAGAAGAGAAAGACTCTAATAAAATACATTTGTCATATGAAAGTAGTCTTTGCTGTCTCCCTTCCAACTTCTCCACCCCTCCAAATTCACTTTCTATCAGATATTTGCTGCATCTTTTCCTTCATAGAAAAAAAAAACTCTGTTGGAAAAAAACATCTAATTAAACGAGTGGGAATGGATGGCTCAAACAAATGAGTGTGATGAAATATTCAACCTTTCAGCTGTAGGTCACTGACATCATTCTGGCATGAGTTGCCTGTGGAAGTGATGAACAGGAATATTGTTGACTGCATTCCTTGTATTTTATATCTGGAAGTCATGTGGTTTCGACAGGGAAAGATATTCAGTGATTCAAGGTCTTTCTTCCTGGGTGGTAGAACCCAACATGTACAGCAGATACCTATAGTTAAAACATGAGAGCTCTCACTTTTCTTGGAGCTCTGTTTTTTTAGGATGTGAGACAGGGAACTGGAAGTCAGCACTTGGAGCTTCCCCCATTTGCCTTGGGCAAATCACCAAATCACTTCATGCTTCAGTCCTCCAATCTATGAAATGATTAGAATAGTACCTTGCCTGCTAAAAGCTTTGTGAGGATTAACTAATTATCAAGTGCCTTGAGAGCCTCCTATAAACATCTTTTGTAAACACCAGGTATTAGCAGAGCCTCCACAGCAGTGGAAGGCACAGGGACAGGTGTCAGGGATGCCATGCTGAGATACTCTAAGGTGCAGTCAAATTGATCTTGGCAGAAGAGCCTGTCTGTGGGCGCGTTAAGGGGACTGTGGGCAAGTCAGGTGACTGGATGATGCACAGCCAGTGGCCTGTGAAGTGCATCAATCAGATCCAGAAGCCTCAGAACATAAGTACAAAAAACATGTGCATGCCGTAGCCAGTACTACAACCCCTTGCCTAGTTATGTCTGTAGCTCTAGGAGAGGATGGAAGAGGATTCAGTCTCCCATTCCTTTCTCCCTCTCAGCTGTTTGCTGCTCCCCTGACACAGACCACTACTTTGGGTTTTGACTCAGAGTTCAGGAGTTTGCCCGTAAACCACGGTAAAGATATTGTTTTTCCCCTGAATATGGCTGTCAAGAATGCAAATGGAAATGTCCCCACTGGAGGTGGGGACCTTAGGGATAAGATGAAATAGGATCCCCAGACTGTGGCTTTTCAAAAAATGACTCTATTTGTCAGAAAAATGTTGAAATTACATAACAACTTGGCTCACTTAAACCTACATATACATGCAGAACCAAGAGTTGAGGGTAGATTGCCCACAAAACTTTCTAAATTGAATTACAGCAAAACCTCGTTATTACTCATCTATACTTCTGATGTTCTATATGATTATATCAGAAAAAACAAATAAAGAACCATAAAAAATTATGTGAACGTTGCAAAGTAACTACACTCAGAAATACCAGAACTGAGGTTGCACCTACCTTCTTAATTATTGCATTTTCTAGCTTCTTGATTCCCCTCAATGATAATGTGCTTTCAAGGTGTGATTTTTGTGTTTACATTTCTTGGTCTCTCTAGATGTGAAATAGAAGACCCTCGGTCCCCAAACCAGTCTCTTCCATTCTGCTATTATACCCAGTAGCTCCTACTCTCAGGTGCAGGAATCTTGCTCAGTCCTTGCATCCTTGGGAAGGAGCGCACACGGCCATTCTGTGGACATAATGTGCGAGCAGGACAACATGCTTTCTGGAGAATTGTGTTGCTGTTCTTTGCCCTAAAGGTGTATGCAAACTGCAGTCTTCCTGAAGCACAAAGCTTGGCTAAGTTTGGGTGAATGTTCACAGGTCAACAAAAGGGCCATCCCTGATGGCAGTTACAAATGGGGTGACCCCTTGTAAGTCCCCACTCAAAAGTATGAGAAGCTCTAGTGTTTTCAATGTAAAGACGTTTTTAAGAGATGTTCTGATTAAAGTTCAAAACAAAACAAAACAAAACAAAAACATCAGCTTGAGTTAGAAACCTGGCAAGGAAAATTTTGAGTATATCAGTAAAATTTTGGTAAAAGTTTTAAGTGTCTAGAGAGAGAGCCCTATGATGGAAAGTGACAGGTGATTTTAACTCCAGATGATGCTACCAACCCTGCCTGTAGTAAAAAAAAGTTACTGCAGTTGGTAAGTCCGGTATAACTCATTCTTCTTTTTGATCATTTTTCCTTTTCCTTAACAGTTTATGATTTTCCATATTATTTCCTTTCTCTTATTATCCTGAGAAACAGAAATCTTCAATAGGGATTACACTGCAATCTTTTTTCCTCATGTTTGTAGAGGAGCAAGTTTATTATTTTTTTTTTAACAATGACTCTCAGAGTTTCAAAACCACATAATACAGTATAACCTCAAATCCAGCATGCTCAGGACCAAGCCCCTGCCGGAAATTAGAAAATTCTGGTTTTTTAAAACCGGAGCGGCGGCCGGTTACGGATTGCAGAGGAGGGAGGCACGTAACAGCGACTGGTCCCAGAGCGGCAGCCGCACGTGGAGTGGGGTGCTGGATGCTCACATGCAAGCTTCCCCCTCTACATCTGGAGGAGCTGGGGGGGGTGGGGAGAAGAGAGCTTAAAAAATGCCAGATTTTTGAGAATTCTGTATTTTTGATATCCAGATTTATGAGGTTATACTGTAGTAAAAAATGAACTAAACTTTCAGAAGTGAATGTTTCTCTCTGTTGTTGATGGCTTTTTTAGATCTTCATTATTCCACTGTGCAGGGGTTACTTCCTCACATGCTTCCTGAACATTTCCTTAGATATTGATTTCCTTTTAAAAAGTTATGCTCCATGTGTACTGTGCTAATGAGGAGACTGAATTGAGGCAACCTAAGTAATACTTCCTTCAGCCCTGCCAACATAAATGTTTCCTAGAAGTGAAGTAAGATTCTACTTACACAACAAGGCAAGTCATTTTCCACCCATTCTTGCTAGCTTACCGTGCTTTTTTCTTTTTCTGTTCTTGTCTTTGGATCATTTTTAATATGGCTTCTTCTTCATAAGCATGGCCACAGACTTTATTTCGAACTGGCCTCTTCATTTCCATCTGCAATCAATAAGACTATTTCACTGACCCGATTATGATCTTGATGAATACAGTCTCAGAATTACTATGGGACACACACTAATTCAGTTAGTTTCGCTAGTTCAGTTTCACTAGTTTCAGTGTAAAGAATCAGATCATATTTATAACCCTTCTTTCTTTCTAGCCAATTTAACGTATGCCTTTATGATCCAGTTGTATTGTTACAATCATCCATGCCTCTCTGTATTAGAAAGAGATCAGCATTGTACTATTTCTAAGTGGAAAAAGTGCTCTCCTCTGGCAACATATGATTTTACAGGATAAACTGCATTATAGTGGAGAGGTTTTGTTTCAGGCAAAGTAGTTCAGCTACAACAAGACATAAAATGATGTTGCCTGGTTTCTAGAAATCCATATATATTTACAACAAATAAGTATGTTTTATATGCAGGAATAAAAGATGACAGTCGCTAGGAAGAACCAGTAAAGTAATGAGAAAGTCTTTTACATGGCAGTGATGGCATACCTGTGTGATAGGACAAAGAAATTTCATCTGACTTTGAGTCACTGTAATATCTTCATCAATGTGTTCAATGGCCTCATCAGCATCTGTTTGAAGACCAACTACAATGAAGAACAACAATACAATTATTGATTTAATTCAACATCTAAAGAAAGAGTCACAGATTTTGTTTAGTTTTTTAATCAGCATTTGCCAAACATGGTCTCATAGTGGTCTTTGAGACGACAACAAATTTCCTTGCACTGTTGCTTGGATGGGAAACTACTGCAAAAATTCTGCTTTCTGTGGGCAAATGTGGATTTTAAATGGGGACTCCTATAAACATAATTAATACACAGTACTAAGCAAGGGAGAATTGAAAGTTTATTTCAGCAAGTTCTACATGGTAAAGGAATTTGTTACTTCTGTTAAAACCTCAGTGGGCACATCTACATGTGCTATTAATTTAAAGTTGGCTCACTGCACTGTAAAAATACTGCACAGTAAGCCTACAGGGGAACATGTCTACACGTGCTCCCTCTTGGAAGAAGATTTGCTCCCAATGGGAGCCACCTAGTACAGGGATGCTCCATCCCTACTTGGCCTCCCTGCAGCAGGAGGGGGAGCTCCAGGCTCCCCCCAACCCCCTGCTAGCCTCGGGGCTGGCAAGGGGTATAGGGTGGTCCCAATGGGCACGGGGCTGGGAGAGCTCAGCTGTCTCCTGGCCCCATGCACATTGAGAGGGGACCTGATGTACACAGGGCCAGGAGAGAGCTGCTCTCACAGCAGGCAGAGTTCTCTTGGCCCCGTGCATATCTGGACACAGCTGCTAGCAAGCCCCCTGCCCGGCAGGATTCCCAGCCCCTGTTTTCTCCCTAGGGAGCTGGCTGTTCTGGGGGACAAGCAAGGGCTGGATTTCCAGTCCCTACTCACTCCCCAGAGGAGAGGAGGGATGGGACAGAGAGCTCCCCAGTCGTGGCCCTGATCAGCTCCCAGCTCCTGGTGGGAGCCAAGGAGTTAACCAGCACCAGGACCGTAGACAGACAGCTCCCTGTCCTGCGTGGCCCCCTGCTGCCTAGGCTGATCGGAAACAAATTTGCTCTTGGCCAGTGTCTACATGTGTTTTACTGCACAGTATCTACTATGCAGCTATTTTACTACCTGTATGTATAGGTAGTAGCTTACTGCACAGTAGACTAATTTACTGCATAGTAAATGTGAGCACTTGTAGATGGTGATGCTTTACTGCGCAGCAGACTAATCTACTGTGCAGTAAAGCGCCTCGTGTAGACACACCCAGCACATCCTAAAATGGGGAGACAACATATATTCTCACCGCAAAGTAAATTCAGATCAACACCAATCATTTTAACGGGTTTTCCCAGCTGTAATTTATGACAGAATGAAAGGTATGGCTGTTCAGTAGTCATTCCCTCCTACATTAATAAAAAGTCTGTTCAGTTTTAATCAACTCTGTTCACACATCTTAGCAGAAACTAAACAGCCCATTTTCTTAAAGCAACATGCATCTTCACAATTAATATGAACAAGTCCAAGATGAACTTTCAAATAGGCTGAAACATCAATTTTCTATGTATAAATAGGTTAAAAATTATTGACCCACATACATGGTAATTAAGTTTATGCAAAAATCCCACTCCTGGTATTAGCTCTATTGTAGCTGCTCCAACCCCGTTTACTGCTCTATGCCCCCGTTTCCCCATTATTCAGTCAAGTGGGACCTTTAGAGATCTATGGCATTTTTACATGTGCTCCCGACGTGGCACTGGGAACTTTTAATTAGTGAGCCATACTAATTAAAAGCGCCCAGTGCACGTGTTCCCAACGTGGCATTAGCAGCACAGCGCATCTCCGTGCTGAGAAAATGGTGGTGTGCTTTGAACTAAAGCACATTGAACGTGTTTTAGTTCAAAGCGCGCTGCTCCCATTTTCTCAGTGCGGAGGCGTGCTATGCCACTAATACATGTGACATGCAAGGCTGCCACAGTGCGTCAATTAATGTGCTCCAGCAGTCTCGATTAATCAAGTCAGCTCTAACGTGCTGGATTTCCGGCACGCCAGAGCAGACTCCTTGCATGATGTTCCTTAGCTCCTGGCATGCATCTCTAGTGTCACTAAAGGATAGTTATATTGGCATGGCATTCAACTGTTTTCAATTTACAGGCACTGGATCAAGTAAACCCCAATCCCAGCTCCACCTTCCAACGCAAAACTTCTTGTTCCTGTACATTTTTCTCTTGTGCATCTTTCCTCCTCTTCCTCCCTGCCCTAAATTGCTCACTCTCCCTTCCAACTGGCAACCCACAAAGAGCTTCTAAAGTGGCTGTAGGATGATTCTGATATAAAGACTTATTTGGGCTAGCATCCGAGATACTTTTTATTCTGGCAAGCATCTTTGTTAAGGAGGCTTCACTTGCCCAAATGCTAGAGGTGTAGCAAATAAAAGGGAGAGAGAATTATCAACAAAACAAACTGGTAAGTTTTACTTGCAAGAATATTTACAAATACCTTTCTGATATTTTGGCACAGGCAAATACTAAAGGTAAAGACTGAGAGGGATCCACCTAATGATCTGTAAATACAGAACTGGGTAGCACAGAGAAAGCAGGGACCTATCATAGTTTACTATTTCAAAGTTTTTCTTCATATGCAACTTTTGGAAATTAACATACAAAATTAAGCACAGAATCAGCATTTTGTATTTTGTGGAAAGCACAACAAACTGTCTTGTGAAAGCTGGGGGGCAAGAATCTTTTTTAAAAAAAACCAAACAAACAGTTTTCTCCATATGACACAACAGGTAAATTCTGATATAGGAATCAAATAAAACAGCCAGCTTCAGCAATATGCAAAACTTCAACAACCAAAAATGCCAAATAGAATCCTTTATCGAAGTACAGCATTGATTCTTTTCCTACAGGCTATGCCAGTGAAGCACAATAGGTACAGATTTTCCCATAAAACCAACGTTTCTGCAAATGTTGGCACAATAAAGCTTTGATCTTTCCTGCAGAAAACATCTGGTAGGTTACACTTTTGTAGGCTGCATTTTGTTCCAGTTCAAGAACCTGGCATACATTAGATGTTCCAGCACATGATGTCTATAGCAATCAAATCAGAATGCCGCAGGGTTGCAGATGAGCTGCAGGATAAATAATTGCTAATCGCAGAAAATCTTTTCATTGCTGATGATGTTTGGATACCAAAGGAGCTGGAAAAGGCTCTGAAGCTTAGATTATGTATTACATAGTTTTACAAAAATAGTCCTCATAAAACTTCGAACAAAAGACTTTTGTCAATAATTTCAAACCCAGGTGTCTAAGGTTAGGCACTTAAGAGGCTTAAATTGTAAAGGCACCAAAGGATGCAATTCACCAAGAAACTGAGACATCTTAAACAAGACTTTGGGGGCATTAAGATGCTTATGTTTGACATACTGATTCACTGAAACTGCACTTAGTCAAATGAGACCTTCTAGGTAGGTTCCCAAGTTTCTGCCAGAAAACTTCTTTAGCTATCTAACAGTCAGCTACTGTTTATGGCCAGAGGTGCCACGGTCTTGAAAAAGCCAGCTCTTTAGATGCTTGTGGCCATTTAGAATTCCATAGATTGCCATTCACTGAAAAGAGCAATCTATCCACCTGCACATTAAAGGAGATCTTAGACCTGATCTTGGGGGCCGGACTTGAAGATCTGTTCAGGTCCCTTCCGACCCTAGAAACTATGAAACCAGGGGTGGGCAATTATTTTGGCTGGAGGGTCACTTAATGAGTTTTGGGGACCTGTTGAAGAGCACATCCATCTCCCTCCCCTCCCCTCTCTTTTTTGCTCTGCCCCCCTCCCTCCAAAACCTGGTTGGAGCTGTAGTTTTCCAGGAGCCCCGAAGCTCAGCTGTGGACCCAGATGGAGATTTCCACTGTGGTGGGCAGCAGCGTCAACTGTGGGTGCAGCCAGCAGGGTCTGGAGCCCCAACGCGGAACCTGCCAGCGGTGTCACAGCTGACAGTACCACCCCCTGGCATGGCAGAAGCTCCTGCTTGGGTCCAGAGCTGATGCTGCCAGGAGGTACCAGGTTGGGGATACGGGTAGGAGCTTCTACTGCACTGGCAGTGTGGCAGAACTGCCATCAGGGCTCCTGAATATGCTGCCAGTGGCATCCACGGCTGATGCCACCAGCCACCTGCTGCAGCTGAAGCCCGCACCCAGGTCCACAACTGAAGCTGCTGCATCAAGGTTCATGCTGCTAGGTGGAAGCAGTCCCTCCCACCCCCGGCACCATGCAGCACCAGAACCAGAAGCTGCCAGTGGGTGAGATCCAATGAGTTGGTGGCCATTCACCCACGGGCCAGACTGAATCTGTTGGCAAGTCAGATCCGGCCCACAGGCTGGATTTTGCCCACCTCTGTCTAAGATGCCCAAGTCTAAGTGGGGTTACAGGGAGTGAATGGGTGCCCCACCCTAGCATCTAACTTGGAGCTGAAAGAGGGCACTGAAGAACTGGACAGAGGGACTGCAGACAAACCCCTCTCTTTAGTATTTCTTATTGGCTGGCACAGGCATCCCCCACTCAAGATGCTAAGTACTACAAATCCCCTTTTCGGCCACATCAGTGTTTCCATTTAAAGTTCAGGAGCTTAGGTACCTAACTCGTAGAATCATAGAAGAACTGGTCTGGAATGCACCTCGGGAGGTCTCCTACTCTACCCCCTGCTCTGTCTGATTCATTCCAGTCAAATCTCTGTCTAACCTGGTCTTAAAAACTTCCAGGGATAGAGACTCCATAGCCTCTCTACATAATCTTACAAATTCACAAACTCAGGCCTGTGAAGTTCATTCCCAGAGGTGGGCACCTAAATATAGGCTGCCAGAAAGTTCAGAGCTATCACCCCTAATTCCTTTGTGTGAATGTCACCTTGGACCCTTCAGCTCCCACTGACTTCAGAGAGATTTAGAAGAGCTCATCACTTATGAAAAACAGGCTGCTCTTTGTCTAAATATGAATAATAAATTCTAGGGCCTACGTTTAGGTACCCAAGGCATTTTTACATGTGCTCCAGGGATTGGGGGGGGCACTCTAATTAAAGCACCTGCAGTGACTCGTG